ATATATAATTGGAAAAAATAAAATACTATTAAGTGGGGGGTGGGGAGAAGAATGATGCCAGGCTTTGAGCTGGGAGTGAGCAGAAGGATGGTGGTACCCTAGATAATAATCAGGAAGTTCAGATAACTCCAGTTTTTAGGGGAGAATGATAATGATTTCTGTTTTGGACATGTTGAATTTAAGATACCTATAAGATAACCAATTCAAAAAACTAGATAGGAGCTCAAGAGAAAGACTAGTGCTGGACTTATAAATCTAGGAATCGTCTGCATAGAGATGATAGTTGATCCCATGGGAGGTGATAAGGTCAAGGAGAGATAGTGTGAAGGAAAAAGAGAAGAGAGCCTTCAGCAGAGTCTTAGGGGACACCAACATGTAGTTTTCTAGAGATATTTTATTGAAAAATATCAAGACCATTTGCCACCCTTCCTCCTCATATCATAATTCCTTGACATTAACCCCCATTATTTCCTAGGTTTACATAAGGTCATATCACTTTTTTTAATTAGAGAAGGGAAGGAATACCTTTCCCATCTATGATGATGGGAAGAATTCTTACCCAAACAAGAGGATAAAGGCATTGATAAAAGATAAAATAGACAATTATGATAATACAAACTAAGAACGTTTACACAAGCAAAATCAATATAATAAGATTAGAAGGGAAACAAATAGGAAAATATCACTCCAACAAATTTATCTAATGAAGTTCTGACATCCAAGATTAAATATGATTGATACAAATACATAAGAATAAAAGCTTTTCCCAAATAGATTGGTAAGAAAGGAAATGCATAGGCTTGGATAAATCAGCATTTATTCAAATGAATAGAAGGCTATCATAACTATATAAAAATGTTCCAAGTCCCTAATAATGGAAAAGCAAATTAAAACACCGCTGAGGTTTCACCTCACACCTATCAGATTGGCAAAGATAAGGAAAGTGGAAAATTGCTATTTCTGGAGGATTTGTGGGAGGAAAGGAACAATATTGCACTGCTGATGGAGCTGTAAATTGATTCAACCATTCTGGAAGGTAATTTGGAATTACATCACCAAAGTCACTAAACTGTGCATACGCTCTGATCCAGAAATACCACTATTAGATATATTACCTAAGGAGGTCAAATATGTCCAGAGGAAAAGACCCATGTGCACAAGAATACTTATTGCAATACTTCTTGCTCTAGCAAAGAACCAAAAACAGAATACATACCTATCATTTAGGGAAGGCATGAAAAAAAATGTGGTATATGAATATGGTGTAGTACAATTGCACCATAAAAAATTAATATGATGAATTCTAAGAATTCTAACCCATTAGAAACACTAGCGTGAATGGATGCATAGTGAAATTAGCAAAACCAAGAGAATAATTTACTTGATGACCATAATCACAATAATATATGGGGAAAGTCTGAAAGACCTCAGAACTCTAAGCAAAGTAATGCCCAGTGACAACTTCAAAACACTTATGACAAAACTCATATTTCTCGGCAGAAAGGTAATGGAAAAGTATAGAATCAGATGTGGATTCTCAGACATAGGCAGTATGGTCATTTGTTTTGCTTGATTATAGTCTTCTACTTGGAGAAGTAAGATATGGCAAACTAGTTCATAAAGATAGACATGGAAAACAAAGAGCATCAATAAAATATTTTTAAATGTACAGAAAAAAAGAAAAAGAAGTATAGAAAGTGACACAAATGGAGTGATTTTATTACTATCTCGTTATATTAATATATCTTTTTTTAAACTATATAACAGAAATTCAGCTTTTTATACTAGTCTCTTTCTTGTCCTTTGTATGTTGAAATGTTTATATTTGTTGATGACTAAGTTCACGACAAAAAATAAAATTTTATTTTGATAATGTTATTTTTGCATATAATAGGATTATTTTCCTTCTAAAGGTTCTACCACTATTTACTGGTACTAAAAAAAAATTAAAGAAAGCCTAGACTCCTTTTAATTCATTCAAATAAATTAATCAATCATTTATTAAGCACCTATTTTGTGTATGCCACTGTGCTCAGAGCTGGGAATACAAAGACAAAACAAAAACTGTCTCTGACTTCAAGGAACTCACATTCTATTGGGGGGGGACAAAATAAATAACAGATAAATAAGATTAAGAGAACTGAGGTAGAGGAAGCCATTAATCAGTAGATGGACCAAGAAAGGCTTCTAATAGGAGAAAACTGAGGTAAACTTTGAAGGAAATTATTTTTTTTTCCGATACAGGTTATACTTGCGTAGTCATGCAAAACACTTCCATAGTAGTCATGCTGTGGAAAACTAACTATATTTCCCTTCATCTCATTCCAGCCCTCTTCCTTCCCCCCCCCATTTATTCTATTCTCTCTTTTGACCCTGTCCCTTCTCAGAAATGTTTGCTTCTGATTACCACCCCCCCCCCCAATCTGCTGTGTCCTCTATCCTCCCCACACTCTCATCCCCTTGCCTCCTATTTTCCTGTAGGGTAAGATAGCTTTCTATATCCAACTGAGTGTGTATGTGATTCCTTCCTGAAGCCAAATCCAATGAGAATAAGATTCACTTGTTCCCTCTCACCTTCCCCGACTTCCCCCCCACTGTAAAAGCTTTTTCTTGTCTGTTTTATGTGAGATAATTTACTCCATTCTACCTCTCCCTTTCTCCTTCTCCCAGTATAATCCTCTCTCACTCCTTAATCTTATTCTCCAGATATCACCCCATCATCTTCAACTCACCTTTCGCCCTCTATCAATCTATCTATACATAAAAAATAAAAATTTAAATAAAAAAGAAAATAACAGTCACAACTTCCAGTAGGAGGCAGCAAGTTTAAATAGGGTTCCCGGTGTTAATTACTAGCTATTTTTGCTTCAATAAACCTTTTAATATCCAGAATCTAGAAAGCTGCATTCCTATCAGGTATGTACAAAACTTAAAGTGGAAACACAAAGAAGTGTTTTAAATAAATGTTTTAGAATGAGAACCCAAAAGGAAGAATTGCTATAAAATATAACTGTAAATCTACTTGACCTTGTAAGGATAGGGACTGGACCAGTGAGTTCATAAGCATAAGGAAGGAAACATCTCATCTGACCCATATAACAATCCTGGGAAGTAGGTCCTATTAGTATCCTCATTTTACAGTTGAGGAAACTGAGATAGGTTAAGTGACTTGCCCAGGGTCACACACCTGTGTGTGACTACTAGCTGTAGTGTCTCAGGTAGAATTTGAACTCAGGTCTTCCTGACTCCAGGCCCAGTACTCTATCTACCTCACCACCTGGCTGCCAGCCTCTTCCACGCAGATCAGCAGAAATTAGTAAGAGGTCAGTAATGTTAAAACATACCTCTTACTTCTTGACAGAAGTGAAAAACTAGAGGTGTACATTATCAAACTGCCACTATATTCACCTGCTTTGCTTAACTATGGGCTTCTATTTAGAGGGGTATAATTTATATAGTCTTAGAGAGCTGCCCAGAACATTGAGAAGTTAAGGGACTTGGCCCAAGGTTACACATACAGTCAGAAGTGGAACTTGAATCCAGGGCTTTCAGGGTAGCTTTCTATTCCACTATTCCATGTTGACGTTCTATCACTTTTCTTATCACAATACTAAAGGTCTGCTGCATTCTTATTACTTGGATTTAAGGAACTCATTGAAAAATATTAATTATTATGAATATAGAAATTAGTATAGATGGAACAATTTTAATGTAAATTCCAGAAGTATTTTGAATTCTGCTCACCTTTCCTATATCAACATTTAATTCAGTTCAATTTAGCAAGCATTAAGTACCTACTCTGTGCTAGACAGAATGTCAAGTATTTTGAGGCTAGAAATACCAAACTCAAAACAATCCTTGCCCCAGAAATCTTACATTAGATAATTTGATAGTACTTTTGCTTTTTCTCTGGATGTGTGCTGATATCTTTTCTATTTCATTTTACCTGCCTAAAGAAAGGTAAGTATTTAAGAAAATGAAATTTAGCAAAGGTAAACATTTAAGAAAATGTTCCTGAACAACCCCCCCCCAAAAAAAAACAACTTACTGGTTAGTGATTGCCACCTAAGTAGAAATAGTTTGCACTCTTTGAACCTGTTTCTTTGCCTGTAAAATGAGGGGGTTGGACTAGGTGATTGAAAAAATTATAGGATATTATGGCTGGAAGGGATTTGAGAGATCAACCAGGCCCTCATTCTCTCAGATTCCTTCCATCTCTAAAATTCTGTGACTCTACTCTGTAAAAACACAAAGCACTTTTCTGTGCACTGCATTTTTTCTAAAGCTAGACACTTCTTATATTTAAGGAATTCATTTATTAGTTTTAAAAAAGGGGTTTTTTTTTTAATTTCCATACAGAAAAAGAAAACTGGTAGGGTAAAGAAGGAAAAGAGAATTCTGATACACAAAACATTCAAGGTAAAGAAATGAAAAAGAAATAGTTTTCGTGGGCGATCCAGCAAAAGGTTTTAGCATCCTTTGGAATGTGATGATAGGATGTTTTGTGTTACAAAAGGGGCGTTTTTAAAAATAAGGACTAGGAAGGAGTAGAGAAAAGCTGTGAGAAAGGTCAGAATTTCAAATCTTTAAACTACCCACCTCCTCATCTGACAATTGTAGAAATGAGACTGTTCTGAAAGTAGAGCTGAAAGGCCCTGTTTAAGCTTTTTGTACCAAATCGTTTTTCTAAACAGCTTTAAGCTTGGCTTAAGAAAGGAGCAGAGAAACTCTCACAACTCCAAGCAGGGGGCCTGCAGCAGCCAAGCTCCCAGATACAAAAGCTGAGCCCTACTAAGGGCCTCTTGCCTACTAGTCCACTTCATACAGAGAAATAAATAAGGCAGCCTCCCTTTTTAGTCCAGCAGATAGAGCCGGCTACGAGAAGCAGGACCTGAATGAGAAGTCAAAGCAGCGGGACCATCCGCAGGGCTATGTTTTCTGAATAAACCAGTCACTCGGAAACCTTCCCCTAGGCAGGCGGGGCAGCTCTCGGAGATTACCTTGTAGGGAGTTAGGAAAATGTTCACTGGCTCGAGGCCAAGGGAGTGGGTCGAGCTATGCGTCAGTGGGAGGCCAGAAGCAGAGAGGAAGGGAGAGGTGATGGATGGAGGGGAGAGGCTTTGCTCTCCCAGCTGTTTTCCTGTTCCCAGTACCACATGGCTCCCCTTCTCCCCACCTTCATTCACCACGCTGTCTCATCGCTGGGTTTACTTCCTTTTTTAAAAAAATTAAGAAGTTTTATTGCTCTTTTTTTCTCCAAAGTTATCCCACCCCCCCACCCCCAGCCCCCATTCTCTTTCATCATCTTGATGCTGTTCCTCCCTCTCTCTTCCCAGCTCCCCCAGATAACCATACTCTTCACTCCAAACTTTACCCCCACCTCAATGATCCTCAGGGTCACTCAAACTTCCTCCTTCCCTCCCCCACAACTCTAGCTTCTTCCGAAAAGGTTTGGTTTGAACTTTCGAACTCACCAATGAGAGTCCGGGAGGAGGGTGGGGTGGCAGAGACCGGACGGGGTGGAGTTTGGGATGGAAGTGGGGCGGGGAGGGTGGAAGAGAAGCTTAGAGAAAGGAAGGAGGGGGTGGGGTCAGGTCCGAGGGACCCCCCCCTCCAAACACGTGGTTCCGGAAGGGCTATATAAAGCCCCTCCCGTGAACTCCGCTCCTCACTAACTTTTCTCCCGGAGACTTCCTAACGGTCGGTCGGTGAGAAACCTGCGTTGCCCTCCTTTCCGTTTCTTCTTAGCCCAGCGGACCCCTGCACACCTTTATCATGGTGAGTGTATAGTGCCCCGGCCAGCTGGCTGCTCCAGGACACTTAGAGTCATGTGACCTGGAGAGGGGCTAGGAGCCGGCGCTGTCCACGTTTACGGAGGTGGGGGAATAGAGTGACCAAAGGGGCATTGGGACTTGGCGGGACGTGGGGCGCACGTGGCCGATTGGCCCCTCAGATAGCTTGGAGGAAGATCTCCGCACTGGCCGTCTGTCTGCCTCTTGGGTTGCGCTCCTGCATTGCTCTGAGTACTTCCTAGGTATTGAGAGAAGGGAGTGTAAGCTCCGTACTTTGGGCCGTGCGAAAACCACGCTACTGGATTCCCCTAACTTAGTTTGCTAGGGGACCAAAATTACCAACAGCGTGGTGCTTCCGTACTTTGAAGTGGAAGTGCGCGCAGTGACACGTGATGATTCGATTTTTCAGAGAAAACTTGCCCCAAAGTCTTAATGACAAATTTTAAGGTTAGGATTTACTAATCCTAATTACTAATGGGTTTATTAACCCTTTGAAGGGATGGTCCATCTGGTTCTTCAAACTTTTCACATTCAATTCTAAAATCGACTTTAGAAAGCTTAAAATACTTTGCACCTTCCCTTTTTCCCTCACCCCACCCCCCACGACCAGAATAAGTTAGCTGGCCTTTCTATGGTAACCGAATGAGCCAAATTGAAGTTAAAGATTGCAGGCTGTCTTCCTTATCTTTTGAGACAAGAGGTCTTGGAAGGCAGAATGCACTCTAAAATGTTGGAGCCACTCCCTAACTCCCTCAGCCTAGTGCTCTGTGACTCAGTGCTGAGTCACTTTTACTAAAGGAAGTAGCAAAGTTTGGGGTGACAGTGTTTCCCAAAGCCTCGATAGAATTAAGGGGGAAATGCGACCACAGATACATAAGGGAGCATGTCCCATAAATAGATAACTAGCTTAGTGTTACCGTGTCTAATCCTACCTTTCTCACCTGTTAGAAATGTGTGGAGTGGAAACAAGTACTTGAGGTAGATTCTTAAAGGGTGTTTCCTTGTAAGGCCATTAAGTGGCTGGGTATAGCGTTAACAACCCATTTTTCAAGTGTTTGAACAACTATAGTATTGCTTTTCGAAAGGAAGATCACATTAAAACTTAGTGAATGAACAGCCTGGGTTGTTTGGATGAATGAATTCTTCCTAAATGTTACTCAGAGCAGCATAGAGAAAACTAATTCCCCAAAGAGACCACCTCATTTAAAATAGCGTTTCTGGGGGTAAGTAGGAAATGGAAGGAGTAGTACGTTGTATGTTAAAAAAAATTAGGGTGCTGCTAAAGAAAACAGGCTTAGCCTTGGTTTTATTAGGGAAATGACGATCATTCATACAGGTAGGGATAGGCTTATTATGTGACCTGACTTTTAATAACCAATCACCCTTCCCCCAGGTAGTCGTGGGAAGGTGAGTCTTTTTGACCTTGTCAGCTTTCCCAGGAGTTTAGCAGACAAGATAGGCAGTGTGAGGAAATTTCCCAAGGAGGCTTACTTTCTTACATGATTTATAATTTATACTGAGTAATACCTTATTCAGAAGGAGGGAATCATCACAGACATAGTCAGTTTTTGTGATTATGAGATCTGATAGATAGGCTTACTTGAAAAGAAGGTAAATAAAGGCTTGCCAGAGAAGAGGACATTATAATTATTTATGAAGCAAGAGGCCTACATTTTACTCTAGGTCCTGCAACTAACTAGTAATGATACTGGATGAATCATTTAACTTCTCTGAGCCTCAGTTTCATCATAGGTGAAACTGAAAGGGTTGCTCACACAGTATGCGTAAAGTTGTGTCTATTCTGATTCTATGATCCTTAGTTTTCTTGCCTGTTAATTCAGTCCAATGCCATCATTTATCTTAGATCTCTTCTAACTCTAGCATTTTGTGAGCTATATGACTTTTCCAAAGTCCAGTTAAGTTACCATGATGTATCAGTAAATACTCATGAGCTCATTAAAACAAATAGTCACACTGCCTACAGCTCGGCAAGTGAGTACAGGTAATTCTGGGCCTTGATGTGGTCAGATGACCATGATTGTTTTATGAATAATGTTAGATTGCTACCTGGAAAGGAAAGATCATGAAATAAAGGTTGCAAATGATTAGGGTGTTTAAATTCTTAGTTAGAAATTAGGGTATACAACCTGTGATAACTTAGAACTGAATTTTTATTATTCTTGACAATTTTGAACTTTACATTTTTAAAAAAAACATGAAAGAAGACTTTTTGTATGAGGGAGTTTGGAAAAAGTACAGTGCCAAGTCCTTAGATATTCTCATTTATAATGAAATATCCTCTAGTAGTTTAACTAAAAATCATTTTGATAAAGACTCCGTTTAAGCCATACCACTACTTGTAAATGTATAAAAGGAAATGTTTTCCTAAATACTTTCAAAAGAATTTGATTTTTTTTTCCCTTGCTGAGCTAGAGATGTTTATTTTCCTGGGGAAGTCTGTGATAGTCACTGCCCTATGAAGACCAAAGCCTGCCTGCAATAGAGTTTTTGCAGAAATTTTTTTGGGGGACAGAGTGGATTCTTCTATTGGAAATAGTAAAGAAAAAAAATTCTTTCCATGAGTTACAGAGCCAAAGTAAATGCTGTATTAACTATAGATGAAGTCTTCTACAAGGTTAAAAAAGCTGCCTCTGACCAGATTTTAAAATATAGCTAGGCTCTGCTTATCTGGCAGTTTCTCTGAGTCATGTGGTTGTAGCTTGCTGGTTTAAGCTGGTTTTTAAAGGAGGAGGGGCTGGGCTTTAAAGAATAGGATTAAAGTGGGCCAGAATGATCTCAACTGAAGTTACACAATCACACAAAAAGTATGAATAAGAATTGAAAGGGGGAGGGTTTTTTAAGCATTTAAGGAATCAGGCCTTACTCATTTCCCTAGAATTAGAAGGAAATCATTTTGAATAGAGCCCTGGGGATATACCTTTCTAAAATGGCAAGCCAGTTCCTGGCTTTGATTCAACCCATGTTTGTCCCTAGAATTCTTAGGTCATGAATTCTCATTTGTTTGCCCAAAGAATTTTCTCTGAATTCAGTTTGTAGTATGCTTGAACTTCAGGTAAGGGGCAGGAGGGTTATGTCCTATGGAATGGTTGTACTGTAACTTAATTCATTACTCATGTAGATATGAATATATTAGATATCTGCCCCAACTGGCTTCTTCATATTCTTGTTTTTCTGCAGCGTGAGTGCATCTCTATCCACGTTGGCCAGGCTGGTGTCCAGATTGGCAATGCCTGCTGGGAGTTGTACTGCCTGGAACATGGTATCCAGCCTGATGGGCAGATGCCAAGTGACAAGACCATTGGAGGAGGAGATGACTCTTTCAACACCTTCTTCAGTGAAACTGGGGCTGGCAAGCACGTCCCCAGAGCAGTGTTTGTAGATCTGGAACCAACTGTTATTGGTGAGTTCAATTTGCATTTGCAAACATGCAGATGAAAGTACCCATTCTAGTGACTTTTTTAAATACACTTGGTTCTTAGTAGGAGTTACCACATTGTTAAAACTGGGCTGTTTTTTTTTTTTAATCTTCCAGATGAAGTTCGCACCGGAACCTACCGCCAGCTCTTCCATCCTGAGCAGCTGATTACCGGCAAGGAAGATGCTGCCAATAACTATGCCCGTGGACACTACACTATTGGCAAGGAAATCATTGACATGGTTCTGGACAGAATTCGGAAGCTTGTGAGTCATCTAGTAGTGGGGTGATAACATAGCAATAGTAAAGTGATAGCCTAAGCCCTGAGCTAACCTAAACAGACTCTAATTCAGGGAATCTTGTACTCAGATTGAAAATTCTATTGATGTACTATCTTAATTAGAGTGAATATAACATGTTCTCCTTAGCAAAAAAAGGGGGAGGATCAAGCAGTGCAATGGTCATCTGGATATAAATGATTATACCAACTCAGGAATGTTAAAACTTATGAGCCATGAATAATGTTAAAGTTGAGACAGTAGCATTTAATTGTTTGGAAGATGGCTGTTGTCATTGTAAGCACTTATAGCAATGGGATCAGGGAGCTCTGGAAAGAACTGACTGACAGTTACTGAAACTTTAGACGACTTTGTAAGCTGTTATGTAGGCCTTTTGTTTCTGTCCTGCATAGTGGTTAATAAAACTGGGGGTCCTCTCCCAGTCCCTAAAAAATCATATTATAGGGCACCATTCTACTATTTCAGTGAGTTTTGTAAGTGTTGGGTTCAGATCTGGATGCTGCAGTTTTACTTAGAACTTAGGATTCAGAGGACCTTTTCTTCCTTGAAAAAAATGTGTGTAACAGCTCATCTATGCTGCATACTCTAGCCTTGGTTTAGCTTACTGGCCATGAAGTCCAGCTCAGTGTATCGATCACATCAGGCCAGGACAGGCATCTGATTATTTGTAGAAAAGAGAGAGTTTTAGTTTTGATCCAGCAGAAATAAGTTAATGCTTCTCCTGCTTAACATATAAGCTGAACTGCAAGTCCTAAAAAACAAATGTTAAGACAAATATAGGGCTGTGTAAACCGGTGGTCTAGAAAGCCGGTGTCCTCATTTTATGTAGCATGCCTGTGTGGCTACACTAACTAGGCTAGTAGATGGCGTGCTTAGGTAGACCGAGAACTTCTTGTGTCTTTTGATATACAGGGCAATATTCTTATCAAATGAAGTTCTTGTAGACTGTCCGTAAAACTGCTTTGAGAAGTCAGCAATTCGTGAAATGTAATTGCTCT